TTTCAACACTGGGAGGCCCACGACTCTGCCCTTCTTCTCCACCTACACTCCCGGCGCACGGGGACGCCATCTGGCCCTGCTCTGGACTCCGCCAGTCCGCCCACCTCCTGACTCCACATCCTCCCCTGGACATCCATTTTGGACCTCTCTGACCTACCGAGCCCTACACCAACAGCCGCCCCTGCCCCGACCCCCCACAGCCCCCCATCTCCCCTCTCCTATGCTCCCCCTTCCTCTCACACCCCACATCCATTAGCACACCCTGCTGGCTCCAACTCTGGCGTGTCCCGTCTCTTCTTACCCCTCCTTTGCCACCAGGATCACCGCCTGCTTGCCCCCGGGGCCTGCCCTCCTGCCTCCGCCCCAGCTACTCTCAGCCCCACACGGCAGCCAGGGAGACAGTCAAGCACCCCAACAGCGCCTGTGCTCGGGGCCCCACAACCCTCTCTCGTCACTGTGAATAAAAGGAAAGTCCTCCCATGGGACTCACATCCTACACCGCCCGGTGCCCTGCTCTGACCCCAGAGACCACCCACCCCCTCCACAGCACTGGCTTCTGTCTTATCTTCAAACTTCTGCCACGTGGCCTGGACACTCATGTCCCGTTGCTGACGAACCTCTGCTCCCAGCTACACCCTCCCTGGCTGCCAGGTGTTTGCTCCAGCGTCACCTTCCTTCGCAGACTACCCTATTCACCAGTGCACCCCTCCCTACTCCCTACCCTTCCTCCTTCCCTGCCTTTTTTCACGCCCTCTATAGCATTAATCGCCCTCTACCATACTCCATCTTTTACTTATTCTGTTCACTGTCTGAACACATGGACGGAGACTTGGCAGGGCAGGGTTTGCCTGTGCACGCCGGCCTGCTGGCAGCGGCTCTGACCCACACACTTGCTGCTCCTGCGTCCGGGATGCTCCCCCTGCCTGCGCGGCTCTCTCCCGTCTCCTCTCAGAGGCAAATCTGAGGAACCCAACGTCCTGTCCTCAGAGAAACCACCTGACCCCTCAGTCCAGGCCAGGGCCCTGCCACACCCTCTCAGCGTGCTGCATGCTACACCCTTCAGAGCAGGGAGCAGCATGTAATTACATAAGCAACGTACACCTGACAGGTGATGGCTCGTTCTCCTCCCTGGACGTGAGCTCAAAGGCGGCGGGCCGCAGACCCGCTGTGGTCCCCAGGGCCTAGCAGCACCGCCTGGTGCACTGTGGGCCCCACTCCCAGCACAGTCAGGACAGACAGCTACATGCCTGAGGACACACAAGAGTATCTCAAGGGCTCGGCTGGGGGATCCAGAGCTCAAGGTGGGTGGGAGGTGGGGGGAGTGAGGGGGTGAGAGGGTCAAAGTGGGGGCGGGGGGTGGGCAGCTCCACCAGGGAGAGACGTGGTCAGGAAAGGCTTCCCTATGCTGGAGTCTGGAGGGAGGAGCAGGCATTGAGAGACACGGGGGTGGGGTGGGGGGCAAGGGCCAGCTGAGGCAGCAGCAGCAGAGGCAGGGAAGGCTGAACTTCAGCCTGGGTGCAAGGGAGGGTGCCTGCAAGAGCCTGTGGAGTACTGTGCAACCCACTTCATAGGGAAAACACAAGCTCAGAGAGGCTGAGTAACTTGTCCAAGGTCACACAGCTGGACAAGGGCAGAAGCAGGATTGAAACCCAAGTCTGCCTGCACGAAGGCTGATTTTTCTGTTAGCATCATTGTCACTCACTTCCTAGGGGTGTCTGTTTTAGAGATACCGTGTCTAAAATGTTCAGAAACATTTGACAATTCCTTTCCCTAGTATAGCTGTGTATTAAAAGGCCTCACACAATCACTATGGACTGATCTAAATTACTTTGCAAGGAGAGGCTCTTACTGTGGGTCTCTATTGCTTTAACCAATACCCAAGAGGACCCAGTTTGGAGCCTTTTATCACACGCTTTCTACAGAGCCACGAAGACCCATCGGTTTCCAGCTCCATCTGCTCTGAAAGTTGCTCTCCTTCTCTGAAAGGTTAATTGCACCAAAAGGATTCAAAAGATGTGGCACTTCTCCCACTTACAGAGCTCCATAAGTCAAGAAAGTGGCCCCTCAGATTCATGATTGTTGGATTTTTTTTTTTTTTAGTATGAGATAAGTTTCTATAATGTAGATAAACTAAGTCATGAAATCTGTAGTTAAAATATTATTTAATATGGTTGGAACTGTCCCAGCATCTTCAGTGAACTCTTTAGAATAATGGCATGAGGCATCTAGACATGTTAAGAGTACAAATTACTTCTCTGTCGTACTGTACCAGACACTGTGCCTTCACCCAAGAAGGTCGCTGGCAAAGTAACTCATGCAAGGAGAAAACACGTGGATCTCTGGGGATGTTGCTGTGTACCAGTCCATATCCAGAAACATCCTTCCCAAATATAGCACAATTTCTGCTAATCATCACCCAACTTAAACCGTGATGTACTCATGCCGGAGTCTGATGCTCTCGACGATACAGACTGGATTTGAGACACATCAGCTTATTTTTAGAAAGCAGCATTTAAAAATAAGTGCTTAATTTTGTTGGGGGGGGGATTGATGTGCTGAGGATAGTGAAGTTTTCTTGGTGGACAATTAAAATCAAATTCTCTGTTATCAATGCCAGGCATGTCATTTATTTATATCTGCAAAGTGAGTAAAATTTTACTCATTTAGATGAAATGAAAAATCTTTATTAGTAAAATGCTTATTAGTAAAACCTTTATTGGTTGGCCACATAGCATAATAAATGCAACTGTATTAATTTCAAAGGTTTACTTTCATTTGTAATGAGAGAAGTATTTGCAGATATAGATTTTGCTTGGTTTGATGCTCTCTGGCTGCGGTTCCCAACCCCCGGCTGGGCTGCGGAACAGCACTTGCACGTGGCCTGGTAGGAACCGGGCTGCACAGCAGGAGGTGAGCAACCGGCAAGCGGGTGAAGCTTCGTGTGTATTTACAGCGGATCCCCATCCCTCGCATCACCGCATAAGCTCCGCCTCCCGTCAGATCAGCGGGGGCGTTAGATTCTCACAGGAGTGGGAACCCGACAGTAAACTGCCCGTGCAAGGGATCTAGGTTGTGCTTCTTGTGAGAATCCAATGCCTGATGATCTGAGGCGGAGCTGAGGCGGTGATGTGAGTGCTGGGGAGCGGCTGCAAATACAGATCATCATTATCTAATGAGGTTTGACTGCACAGTAAACGTAATGCGCTTGAACCATCCTGAAACCATCGGCCCCATCCCCAATCCGTGGAAAAATCGTCTTCCATGAAACTGGGTCCCTGGTGCCGAAAAGGTCGTGAACTGCTGCTCTATGGGACAGAATCATTTGGAAACAGCACTTTATTTTGCTTAGCAAAAATGATCACACCGAAATGCCTAAAAAAGGTGGTATTTTAGGAAAGTTAAATTTGATGTTTATATTCTTAATGTCTTTAACAAATGCATTCTTTAGGGCAGCGAGTTCAGAGGCCTGAGTATGGCTGGGGGTGGGTGCAATGATCAGCCCTCCCTACGAATACTTTCAAGTCCTTACCCTGAAGCTCTGATAAAATGAGACGAGAGGTTGGAGCAGCCCACCTGAGAGGCGAAAGAGTGACATTTCCACCTGGGGTCTGTAGGAAGCTCCCTGGGCTGAGCCTGAGCAGAACCAGGAGGAAGGAGGGACATGGAGTTGCTTTGTAAGTATTTGGGGATCTTATTTTTTATCTGAATTATTCTCTGGGAATGGGACATTGATTTGTTGGAGATCTGGAGGGGGCCTGTAGCAGAATATTTCCGGGGAAGGGCAATCTGCCTCTGTAATGGGATCACTGGTGTTCTGTGTCACTGGGCTGCTCAGCCGCTGGGCTGTCAAGGACGGCGGGGAGCCAGGGCATGTGGACACCATCCACTCACTGGTACTTACTGAGCACCCACTCTGTGCCAGGTACTGTTTCGGCATTTGGGGAGCAGCGAGGAACAAAGCAACCCAGAACACCGTCCCCCTGGTGCTGGCGTTTAGTGCCACTATTTACTGAAGTCTATAAGGGCAGGGGCTCACTTCCAAGACTCGTCCCTCCTACAGCTACCGTGGCAAGGCAGTCCCTCAGGACACCATCCGGCTGGGAGGAGCCCTTGGCCTTGGAAGGCCATGAAGGGCCAACGAGACCCAGGTGGCAGGTTGTTAGAGCCTTTGAGCTAAAGAAGAGCCCAGCTCAGTCCTGGGGGGGACCCTCTTCTGGGGGTTCTGTGATGGGGAAGAGGACCTAAGAGAGAGAGGGCCTGCGTCCAGCCTGCGCACAGTGGAGAGGCCCACTGGGGGTGGGCATGTCCCCAGCATGCTGAGAGCAGCACCCCAGAGCGTCTGACGCTGCCAGCGCCTGGACACAGCAAGGAGAAGGGAGTGGGGCCGGTGGGAGGAGTACTGGCAACTCCCAGGGTCCACGTCCGCCCTAAGGTGCGGGGAGAGACAGGCCACTCTCTTTGGACTACATAAGCCCTGAGATGATCCAGGGAAGGGGGAACCAGAGCTGAGTTTAACTTAATTTTAAAGTAAAAGTGATATTATTTGTACCCGGATCAATTCATAGCTGTTACATAAACAGAGGCTCCTGTGAGTCTTCCGTAAGATTTAAAAACAAAACAAAACAAAACATCAAGTATTTTAAAAACAGAGAGCATCTTAAACCTTACACTTGGCCGATGACCGGCCTGACACTCAGGTGACGTTGTTAGGATGATGACCCAAGTGAGCTTCTCACCTGTTCGTCTGTCAGGATTTGGACGTGGCGGTTACAGACGGCCCTGAACTCATCTCTGGAGGCCGTGCTTGTTTTCGTGGTGTCGAAGTTCTCAAACTCCTGGGCAATGGCGCGGTAATGGGAAGTCACTGCTTTGTGGAGACGAGCCAGGAGGTCTCTGTCAGCCGTTTCCTTGGGCGAGCTGGGCGGTGGGACTTTGGGCATCTTCTCAGCCCACTCATCAGCTGTCTGGGCAAGACAGAATGGAAAATTGACCCATTTAAGAAATAACAAATCACCACTTGGCTCTGGGCCCATTCCCGGGACAAGTTCCAGGGAGGCCAGCTGTGGGAAGATAAACCAGAAGACAAACGCACCACGGCGGGTGAAAACAGCATCCGGTCACAGGTCAGACTGAGCTGAACAAGAGCCTGGGTTCGCCCGCTGGGAAGGAGCGAGCCAGCTGGCCCAACAGGGCGGGGCCGCGCCCCGGCAGATGAGCTGCCCCGCTGGGCCAGGCCCTGGGGAGGGCACACCTTTTACTCTCATCCATTCGCTCTGTCAGTCTGTCTTTTGGGTTGTTGAACAAACACACAGCGCGTGCCTGCTCTGAGAGGTCAGGGAGTCGCAGGGGTAGGTATCGGGCCGCTTTCATCTCAGGACGTCAGTGTAGTTGCTTTACTCAGAGCAGTCAGAAGTCGAAAGGCAGGCTTGGATGACTGTACGACATTGTGCTGCAGCCCCACCGTGGCTAAGCGTTTCCTGAAGTCTGAGACAGTGTGAGACCCACAGGGACTTAATTCCCGGGAGTGCAGTGGATCTGCTGGGAGCAGCCTCCACACGGCAGCAGTGGGGCCCAGGCCTGGGGTAGTGCCCTGCAACACTCCTTGGGCAGTGGAAGCCTGGTGTTGGGGGCAGTCAGGTCCTCGTGGCACTGTCTGTGGTGCTGGGGAGTTCAGAAGAGGGTTGTGCACCTCGGCCAGGGCTCAGGGACTTCCTGGGGGGAGAAGAAATTGGCTGCAAGGAAAGAGGGGCAGCAGAAGGATTCTTTTTCCTTATGTGCTGGCAAGAGGGCTTGTGGCAAGGTGGGCCAGAAGGGGCCCGAGGAGGACTGCACCCCACCTTCGGCGTCTGATGATGCTCACTTTGACAGACAGATGGGACAGCAGCAAGAGACGACAAGGAAAAGTTACTGAGTGAGCAACCTGGAGGATGAGGATGGCCAGGGGCCGTGATCCTCGTGCTAGTCA